CCAGACGAAGTTGAGGTCTATGTAGTTCTGCAGAATGCCTAGAAATTCGGAAAAGATATGTATTCAAGGAGGCAGTTGCTCTTGGGAGAAAGAAGTTATATCAGACCCAGCACACCAAAACCTAATCCAGATCCCTTTATTATGCGCCTGAAGGAAAATCTGATGTACTTTATACTCTAATCTTAGATTCTGTGCCACAAGCCCAGAGCTTTAAGTTTAAGTTTTATGATGTCAGGTTTTATGAGTACAATTTGCCAATCTGGTTTTGTTATTTTTTTGTATTCTACAACCAGAGATACCATCACCAGACGAAGTTGAGGTCTATGTAGTTCTGCAAGAATGCCTAGAAATTCGGAAAAGATATGTATTCAAGGAGGCAGTTGCTCCTTGGGAGAAAGAAGTTATATCAGACCCAAGCACACCAAAACCTAATCCAGATCCCTTTTATTATGCGCCTGAAGGAAAATCTGATGTAACTTTATACTCTTAATCTTAGATTCTGTGCCACAAGCCACTTGCATTTGTCCTCATTCTTCTTTAGGGTTGTAACTATGCCTACCCTTTTTTGCAGCATTATTTTGAGATGCAAGATGGAGTAATTCATGTCTATGACAATAAGGATTGTAAGTTTCGAGAGACCTTATACGGAACCTTACTTTTGATGATCTGAACTGCTATCTTGCTTAATCATTTATTTTCTTTTCTACTTCAGCAAGAAGGGAGCTCTTTCCTGTGGCTGATGCAACAGCCTTTTTCACTGACTTGCATCATGTACTTCGTGTTATAGCGGCAGGCAATATCAGGACTTTATGTCATCACCGGCTAAATCTTCTAGAACAAGTGAATGTCTTGCCCTGCTTTTAAGTGCTTTCTAATTTTGTAATTTCTTAGATTTGATCGTTAAAATTCTTTTTTCCATTTTTTTGGTCATTCAGAAATTCAATCTTCATTTGATGCTTAATGCGGATAAAGAATTCCTGGCTCAGAAAAGTGCACCGCATAGGGACTTCTATAATGTGAGGAAAGTTGATACACATGTCCATCACTCGGCATGCATGAACCAGAAACATCTTTTGAGGTTTATAAAGTCGAAGTTGAGGAAGGAGCCAGATGAGGTGAGTTCCATTCTTGATTATTTACTTTGGTGTGCTTTTATAGGGGGCCTTAAAATTTCTGTTCACCTTTTACAACTGAATGCTTCCAAGGTAAACCATTACACTCATGTTTTAGCCAATCTTCATTGCTAGGGGGTTTGAATTATGTAAATGAGTCTCTGAGTGTTTTATCCCCTTCCTGCAAATTGTGGTCCTTTGTGGAAGTGGTGCATGTCCCCCCCCCCAATAAAAAAAAGAAAGAAAGAAAGAAAAAAGTTGTTCACTAGGTTCTTTTTTCAGGTTGTAATATTTCGAGATGGGACATATTTGACCTTGAAAGAAGTTTTTGAGAGCTTGGATTTAACTGGGTAATAATCTCTTTTTACCTTTTGGTTTTCCCCCCTAAAAAAGGGAGTGAGAGATGATGCAACTAATTATAATTCATTTTTTGCTTTTGTATGAGCAGGTATGATTTAAATGTGGATCTTCTTGATGTTCATGCTGACAAGAGTACCTTTCATCGGTTTGATAAATTTAACCTCAAGTATAATCCTTGCGGTCAAAGTAGGCTCAGGGAGATTTTCCTCAAGCAGGACAATCTTATCCAAGGTATATCCTTTATATTTCCTTGATTTGGGGGACAAAGGAATATTGTGTCGACTGCTGAGATCACATTGAAATAAACAATTAATCTGTATGAAATTGCAATGGCTAGTGTTTCTTTGATGTTTGAAATATGATAAGATTCAGATATCGTGCTGGATCTAATATGTTACCATGCTTCCAATCTTTTATTTGAATGAACCATCAGTGTCTCATCTTCATATTCACACGTTGTTATGCATTATAAGGTGCTGTTCCGATTCTTTTGCTATAAACATGATTCAATGTCTTTGCATCTTTTATTGATTCATTGCTCGGAAAGAATCTTTTCTTCTTTGTGCTTAATTTGAAATTACAGCCCGACTTTTGTACCTCGTGCAGGTCGATTCCTTGCTGAGGTGACAAAGCAAGTGTTTTCTGATCTTGCTGCAAGCAAATATCAGGTATGTCCCTTATTCCACACAAATTGATTTTATCCCTAAGATTAAATTCTGCTCTGGCTCCTCAGACAATGAGATAGAACTAGCACTTGAGTAGAACCATCGTAAAACTATCGTATGGTGGATGACTCTTCTATAAATTTACTTAATTCTATGATGAGCTACATGTAATCAATGAACCAAATTATGGATTTCTAATGTTTGCTTTTATTGATATGCATCAGGATGCTTCCTCTCTTTCAACAAACCAAACTATGATCACTGGATTTTACATTGTTTTGATGTTCAATTTGATTGCCGCAGATGGCTGAATACAGAATATCTATATATGGAAGGAAGCAAAGCGAATGGGATCAAATGGCTAGTTGGATTGTTAACAATGAATTGTACAGTGGGAATGTTGTTTGGTTAATTCAGGTTCTAATGATCTACTTGAATTCTTGTTACCTAGTTACTAGCTTCTTTTGTGCCATATATCTTGCGAACCTAGATTAATGTGCGACATTTTATCTATTTTTTACTTCAGATCCCTCGGCTCTATAATGTTTACAAAGAGATGGGAATTGTTACATCGTTTCAGAACATTCTCGACAACATCTTTATACCTCTATTTGAGGTTACTGTGGATCCAGATTCACATCCTCAGTTGCATGTTTTCTTGAAACAGGTCTTGTATCTTTTATTCTTAACACTTCATCCCCCGGTTTTGCAATGGTTCAGTGTAGATTGCATTGTGCCTCGGCTTGCATCGTTCGTGACAACAGCTGCTTGTTGGCAATTCAGGTTGTAGGGCTTGATTTGGTAGACGATGAGAGTAAGCCTGAAAGACGCCCCACCAAACACATGCCAACACCAGACCAATGGACTAATGTATTTAACCCTGCATTCTCCTACTATGCATATTATTGCTATGCGAACCTTTACACCTTAAACAAGGTATGCATTATATAAATGGATTCAACTACATTCCGGCTTCGTGATTTTTTGGTATACTGATGTTTAACTATGTGGCATGATTTTTTCCAGCTCCGTGAATCCAAGGGCATGACAACCATCAAATTCCGGCCTCATTCCGGGGAGGTACTCATGAAAGTTTTACATGCTGCCTTCACGAATACTTTACTTTGTGCGCTTCGTAATATTTATTGTATTTTCAGGCTGGTGACATTGACCACCTTGCGGCGACCTTTCTAACTGCTCATAATATTGCACATGGGATCAATCTAAGGAAATCTCCTGTACTACAGTATCTTTACTATTTGGCACAGGTAATAACAAAAGTAAACTTGAAAATATACAAATGTTTCAGTCAACCAATGAGCATGGAGTCTCTAATTATTGTCATGTATTGGCATATTGGTACCAGATTGGGTTGGCTATGTCTCCTCTGAGCAACAATTCCTTGTTTCTAGACTATCATCGGAATCCTTTTCCTATTTTTTTCCTACGTGGTTTGAACGTTTCCCTGTCTACGGATGATCCACTTCAGATACACTTAACAAAGGAACCTTTGGTTGAAGAGTACAGCATAGCTGCTTCCGTAACCTCTCTCCCGCTAAGCAACAATATCTATACCTATTTATCTAATATTGAAGTAAATTAAAGCCTTCAAATTGCAGGTGTGGAAGCTGAGTTCATGCGATCTCTGTGAGATTGCCCATAATTCAGTCTACCAGTCCGGTTTTTCACATGCTTTGAAGGTACACGCTCTGCAATTTCTTTGCCGAACTCTTTCCGAAACGAGAGTTATTGAAATGAGTTGCGTTTTCTTTTTCAGTCCCACTGGATCGGAACAGAGTACTACAAGAGAGGGCCTGCCGGAAACAATATACACAGAACAAATGTACCTCATATCCGGCTAGAATTCCGTGACAGGGTAGGGGCTCGACTGTAAATATAGTGCACGAACGTTTTTCTTGCCTAAAGCGACTTTAATAACCTGAATACAACAACAATTCCCTAACCCCATTTTCTGCAGATCTGGAGAGAGGAGATGCAGCTGGTGTACCTAGGCAAGGCCATTATCCCCAAAGAAGTCGACTAGTAACGTGCAACATTCCGCACAAAATCCATTCTTTAACGTCTCACATCACATATGTTTGGGAGGTATCCATCTGATTCTCTTTCAATTTATACAAGGGTGGCAAAACCCGACCTCAAGTGTTTGTGCCTCCCGAGTTCGACCCCGGAAGGTAACTGCTATGGTCGGACAAAGCAAAACAACTCTTGTATGCTATGATAAGAAATTTGTGAGAGGGGAATTCCCATTTCCAAATACAGAGGATGCAATTGACAAAACAATTGCGTCTCTCAGATGATAACTAGAAATGGTTTTCTTCAAGTGTCTGTTAGATATAATGCCACTTACATAGTCTGCTCCAGTACAATATATTTGTATGCTATTATTGGTTATACCAGTTTGTCAAGCCAGAGTGGAAGTCTGCTCTCTTCTCTTGCTCTATAAATTTTGATTATAATTTCAAAGCTATTTAGTTATAATATTTTTTACAATCAATGTTGATCTTTTATTTGCATTACACAATTTATGCCCAATTTATTGTAGTAACGTAAATATGTTTTTCAATAGCAAATTTACATCTGTAGTATAAAATTACCTTGAGATAAAATAATCTGAATCAGACATTCAAATAAGTTTTAGGGTTCATGACTTGAGATTATGAATTTTAGGATTTATGATTCAAGGTTATAGATTTAGAGGTTTAGGGTTTAGGGTTATTTAAATATGATAGATGTGACATTGAAATAAGCATATGATCATAGAGTTTAAATTTTAGACAAACTATGTATAAAATAATTTCACCTGTTAAATCAAAGGAAGAACTTCACCTTAAAAAGCACATCTCTATTTTTTGTGCTGCTTTATCTCTTTAATTACACCATCGGTCCGTGAATCGATATCATTATTCTTCCCGAAAAACTTAACAAATTCCATCTTAGGATCCATCAAGTACCTGCATAAGGAAGAACGGGAAAAAAAGAGTTCATGGGATTTTACATAGAGTTCAGCATTTAGACTGAAAAATCAAATTATATTACGAGCAAGCATGTCAAAAGCAAGAATCAAGCTAACAAAAAGTGATCATAGTTGCATGAATGGAATGCCAATGGCACGGAATAAAAAGCCTTCATCATTCGGTAATTTAACCAAGTGAGTTGATAGGTTTACGAACTTTAAAGCAGTGACACAAAAGCCCATTCAAGAGACAAAGCATTTTCACATGCTAAGAAGTAAGTCTTCACTCAGAAAATTTAATAACCTTCTCTCATCACATTGCCTATTCAAACAATTCTTGCCTGTAAAATGCCATCTTCATTTTTTTTTTTGGGGTCTGCTATTTTGTGTTTTCATCAATGTTGACATAAACCAATGCCTACTAATCTACAGATTTAAACTGCCACTGAGCAGCATTCTGATACAAACATCAGATGCAGGTCAAATCAAACAAAACTAATACTTACATGACTATGGAATGATCAACAAGGTAGTCTGAATCTTCCTCCGTTGTCTTCATATAATAAACTCGATATGCACGAGCAATTTGCTTTATCTCATCAGGGCTACCAGTTAACCCTACTAATTTTGGATGAAATTCTGCAAAAATGTAAAGGATAATACCGATTCCAGTGACAAGCAGCAGCAGCAAACTCAACCAAGAAACAGGCTGCAAATTCCAATCCAATCAAAACAAAATCCCAAAATTGTAATCCCAAAAAGGGAAAATGTTCAATAGAGATCCATTAAGAAGCTAAAAAAAAGTACCCCGCCGCGAACAGGTTTGCCTCCAGCACCACTGCTCTGTTGCGAATCTCCATTGTTCTGGGTCCCTTCAGAATTGGTTTTTGAGGATGAAGATGATTTCTCTTGATTTCCACTAGGAGCTGTGGTGGAATTAGATAAATATCTTCCATAAATTCCCAAGGATTTGAATTCAGCTCCAACAGGAATGACCTGTGAGCCACCACAAAAGGAAACCCGCCATAGATTAAAACAATGTCGTGCTTATTTTCAAACGGAGAAGTAAGAAACGAGGAGCAAAAACGAACCGGTCGCAAGGAAAAGAGAGATGGACCGTGAAAAGAATCGGCGGTTGTGGTTGAAGATGGAATAGGGGATCTGAATTGACTTGGACTGCAGGCATGAAGACACCGATGAACGTTTCGTAGACGACTTGCGTTTCTCCATAGAGCGGTAGCCATGGCTGAATGGAAAGAAATCTATTTCCTTTGCTCTTTCACTCTTCAAACTTTTTGATAAACCCTACCGTTAGAATCGAGCAGGGGTTTTGCAATGGTTGAGAGTCGGATACGGAGTAGATGAGACGAGTCACTAGTTATTTAAGTTTTGATTCGACAAAAATTAATAAATATTCCATTCAAATTGATTTGATTTTAATTTTTAACGAGATGAAATGACTTATTTAATATTTGATTAAAAAAATTTGGACAGCAGTTTGAAAAAATAATATATTAAAATTTTATTTTTAAAATTAAATTAATAATATTGATATTTATGTGTTGTTTTTTTAAATATAATATAAGGGTTTCATGTGATTTAGGTTTGATTTTGAGGTTTGAATTTTAACTGGTTAAGTTTAAGGGGGAATACAATTCTTTCGAACTTTTTTGAGTTATTTTTATTTTCAATTTATAATTTCGAGTCTGAATCAAATTTGAAAATTTAAGTATAATAAATTTTCGAGTCGAATCAATATTCCTTTAACCAAACACTTGTAAGATTACCAGTGAGAATGTAAGATTTTCAGGGAATATGATTACTGGGAATGTTGTATTTTGTGTTTGGTTGGTTTAGCAGGAATGTAAGATTACCGTGTTTGGTTAAAGGAATAAAAGATTATTGGAATGTCTATTTGACCAAATTGTCCTTATTATATATTTGTTTTTTAACAAGTTGGAAAATATTTATATATTTTCTTTAAAAAAATTAAATTTATAAAATTTATTTTACAAAATTGAAAATATAAAAAGGTTTAATGAAAGGGTAAAATTTTATTTTAACCCCTGAACTTCATATAAAATTTTAATTATAGACTTTTTTTTTTGTAAATCTAAAATAATTTAAAGATAAATTTGTAATTTAACCTTCGTAGAATTTTTATTATTCAATGACAGAAAAATGATATTTAAAAAAAATTAAGGGCATTTTAGTCCAAAACTCTGAGAATTCAATAATACCTAAGGAAATGGAGGTAATGACATTCCCGGTAATATATTCTAAAAAAGCCACTATTGGTAATCTTACATTACCGGGAATGAGATTCCCGGACTAACCAAACGAGGGAATGTGGATTTCATTCCCATGAGAATCCTACATTCCCCCATCCAAACACCCCCTTATATTTTCTTTTTTATCCTTGTATCTCACTCTTTTATACCTATCAAAACAAATCTGTCAAATTTATCAATCACTTTTTAAGGATAATTTTATCATTTTTCTTAATCAAATATATCTCATAAAACTATATACATAATCAATATCATACATAAATAATGAGACAAAGGGAGTAATAAACACTCGTACATTCACATCTTACCCAAAATTCGAGATTTCCAAAAATAACAATTAACAATAATTTCTTATCCGTTAAATTCACTTAGTTCGTTCTACAAATCATAATCTTCAATATTATCGTAATAGTAGTCCTCTTTGTTTGTTTGTTTTTTGACATAATACTGTAACCTTCAGTCTCGCCATTTAATTATATTTTTTTCTAAAAAAAAATCTGCTCCTTAGTCCGTTTTCGAGGAAAGAAAGACTCCAGTCTTGATTCACCTTGTAATATTATTACATTAATTTTTATTAAATTAAACATATATTTTAATTTTTTTATTAATAATAATAATCAAAATTTTAAAAATAAATTGACCGTAAAAATCAATAGATAATAGTATTACTTTATATATCTGATCAGATGTAGCCAACTGAGAAGATGACTGACGCTCACAGCTCTTGCCTGCTTCATTGGACAAAAGAATTTAGACATTATGAATTACCATTGTTATAAAATCACAATCTTTGGTACTATAAAGGGGCAGAAATGATTAACAAACATCTCCAGCCCTCTTCAAGAAGTTCATTTGACCTTCACATTCTTTTCTTAAATCGCAAGTCTAGCATCTTTAACTCTTTTATTTCACCTAGTAGCCCTGGAAACGTCTGTCAAAGTTTATGCCAACGAAGTAGATAAATCGAAACCAAATGGGACAATCGAAACACACAAATGTTGTGATCTAAATTCTCTACGAGTTCCATATATAGATAATGCTAGTACCAGCTTGTCAATATCACTAAATATAGATGCCATATATGCATTCTTGCATATTCAAAACGACAAATTTTACTACATGCAAACTTATTAGGCAGAGATTATCAAAACCGCGACAAGGCAGTCGCCCGAACAAAATGTGATGTCGTATGTACAGAATCATCAGTTTTTTGACTGCGAGGAAAACAACATGCCGTTTAGAAACAATGAAACATTCACAAAAGGTATCAATATATAATATCAACTTCAAACAAATGCAACCGACCTCCATGTTTTTCGAGATTTCCTTCATTTGTTCAGCAAGCTCTTCCCTCTTCTTTGCAGCTGCACGAACCAAAGAAGACGATTTAACATCAGAAGTTCTTTTGTTGGATAATAGAGGGCTAAGTTCATAAACAGTGTGTAGAAAAAGACCATAGTAAGTAACAGATGGAACCAAGCACATACCCATGCTGGAGATATCCTCTATCTTCTTTGATGTCCTCACAGCAAATCTTTGGAATGCCGGACTGAATAAATAAAATGAGACACCAAAGTAAACCCTTACAGAAATCATAGAGCAACGATTAATGCAAGTGAATGAACAACAAACCATGAAACTAGAAGGAAAAAGAACTCGACTTAGATCGTGTAAAACGACAAAACTTTCTGCAGGCTATTAATGAATTAAGATCAAAGAGCGATGCTTTATTCTGTTCATAGGAAATTTTCCAAGGTTTTTTACACTGCACACAGAGACGAGACACATTGTAGGTGGGCATGGGGTCATGCACCCCCCCCCCAAAAAAAAAAAAAACACAAAATTTGATGGTTTAATTAAAATTTAAGCCACCGATAGTTTTGAAACCATTGGAATTAAACCTTGGTCCCACCCAATATTTTCTAGTTTAATTATTTTCAGGATCATGCCAGTTTTACAATTAATTAAATTAAGTCTCGACCCCTATTTTTTTCTGGGTTGATTATTTTTTTGAACCCTGTTCGTTTTGAAGTTAAGAAGCTTAGCACCACACAGTTCAATCTTGACTCCGACCCTAACTGTACAAAACATGTTTAAGATTAACAAGCCTGAATCCTTTTGCTTATGATAAACAAGCTTCAACAAAACATGGACAGACTCAAGCATTTGAAGAGACATACTAAACAAAAAGGCAATAATATTCATTTAAAACAAAGATGGAAGGGGGCTGGTTTTGAGGTAAAAATATTCTCAAACCTCCTCAATCCATAGTGCATGACATGTTGCACTACATATGAAGATACAAATATTAGGATTTAAGAATAGAGTCGCTCTTGCTTCTTGGGAGCGAACCGATGGGAAACAAAGCAGTCCCACCAGCTCGAGAAAGAAGCCTCCACAGGTCGTTAGCTATTCTCAAATCTTCATTACACGTTTGTAATTATAAGAAAATATTGTGAAATTTTTATATTCCTGGAACAAAGAGAAATCCACAAAAAAATATACCTGTTTGCAAGTCTATCAACGACAAGTTCATTGACGACATAAGATATAACTCTGTGCATGAAATTCCCTCCCGCCATGATCAGTTTTCAGAATCTGATAGCAAAAAAAAATATTAAAATCAAAACAAATATCAGATCAAAAAAGGGAATTCAAATAAACCCTAGATTTTTCGTTAATCATATGAAGGTTAAAAATAAAAAGAATTATCTGTAGAGAAAATGTAGAATTTTACCTGCCGATAGGAAATTATGAAGAAGATGGAAAAGGCCACTTAGTTTCTGGATCTTACCCGATTTCTCTCTTCAGGTGGCTATGGGGTTTCGTTTCGTTTTATATTAGGTTGCAAGCCGCAGGAGCAGAGACGCAGAACCAAACGAGTGTTCGTTTTATGTTTGATGGACCGATGGATTTTGTTAAACGGGCCAGAAAACTTGGTTGCCTAACCGAGAAGACCTCAAACTCTCTCGACTTTTCTATTTTTTAGATATATTACGTGTTTAGTATTAAACAATTAATTTTGGTCTGTGTTAGTACATAAATTTTTATTTTTTTTAAAAATATACCTTAGGTTTAGTTTTAGTTTCATTTTAGTACATCCATTCAAAATTTAACATTAAGTTTTGAAACAAATTGAAAGTTTATGTACTAAAACGGATCAAGACTGATAGTTTAGGTAAAAAAAATTAAATTTTCAATGGTATGATATTAAATGAAACAAAAACTAAATGTTAGGTGTGATTTTAAAAAAAGGAAGTTTAAATACTAAACTAGACTAAAATTAATAGTTTAGATGCTAAATGAATAGTTTATCCCTATTTTGCACATTGTCTGGTTGAATTTATTGGAACCTAATTTCAGCGGTGTATTTTTTTCTCTAAGAAATTGGTTAAATCTAATAAGAGAAATTATTAAATTAAAATATTTTTTTATCAATTATTAATTTATCTAATAAGATGAAATGTTAAATCTTTTTAACAATATTTATTGTTCGAATTTTGATATTATGATTAAAATTAAATTAGAATGGAAAATTAATCTTTGTAATGTGTTTGAAATATTTAATCCAAATTGATTGGCTAATAAATTAGATAGTCATAGTTATAAAAAATATAAATATTTATATATATATATAATAAAACACAATATTTAACTTTTTAAAATTAAAAAACATTATTAATTTTGTTTGTGAAATAAAAAAAATACATAATGCCCAGTACTTGGGGGCTGTTTGTTTACTTCAGAATGATTAAGCGATGAATGATTTAAATGCTGAATAATTCAGAGGCTCTGAATGTGACATGATGCTTGATAATGGTTCTGAATCATTCAGAATGTACTTCTGTGCTGAATCATTCAGCACTGTTTTGCTGAATCAGTCAGCACTGAATCATTCAGAGGTACGAAACAAACGCGCTGAATGCTGAACAATTCATCATTCAATGCTGAATAATTCCATTAAAAGGCAAACAAACAACCCCTTAATTTTATTTGAGTGTAAAGTTATGATGTGTTAAGAACAATCATGATATTTTGCAAGTACAATTGAATTGAGTGTAGTTAGAGACATTCAAGCCTTGAAATAGAGATGGGAATTTATGTACTTTTACCTTTTTTTTTTCTTTTAATAAGGTTTTACTTTGATTAATTTGGACAGATTCAAATCATATATTTGATTTTGGTGAATGAGTATCCAAACAAAAATTTTCTGCATACACAAGACTTCGAACTTGATATATTTCTTAACGATATCAAGTTAGTTATCACTTGAACCAATCCGTTGGTTATGTACTTATACAATTAGCCTATAAATTGTTATGCATATTATTATCATATGATTTTATTATTGTTATTATATTAAGATTTTACAATAAATATTAATATTTTATTTATTCACACATATTTCTTTCAAATATATTAGAATCTACTTACACTTTTTTAGGATCGTTAGATTGAGGAAAATCACACACTAAGATTAACTCATTACATTTTTTTCTCAATTAATATCTTCTCATTTTCCACTGTTAATCCAAACATTTAATTGCTCTCATCCAGCGGTCCTAAAAACGTAAAACTAAAAGAGTTTTGCACGATGTAATTAGATCATACCCTATATATATATATATTCAAAAATATATGACATGATTGACCCAGTCTATCGATCCGTCGATCAGAACCTAAAAAATAGGCAATTCTCTAAAAATTACCTAACCGGGTCTGGTACCCGACCTATGATTTTTCTCGGATAGTTAGGTCAGATCTAGACCAAAATTTTTTATAACCGGATATCCGACCTGACCCGATAATTTTAATATATATATAATTTAAATTATATTTTTATTTTAGGTTCTTAATACTTTTACCTTAAAATTAAATTTAAATACTTAAAATTTTCAAAAAAATTATCAATTTGTCAATATAAGATTCAAAAGAATAAATCACGATCGATATTAATATTTTTAATGTTTCCTTTTGGAAATAAACTTTTTTTATTAGTTTAGGGTAAGTGCAAGACAATATCTGTTCAAAAGCTACTCTCAATCATTTGACATTGAATGCTTATCACCCCTAACATTCTTAGTGCTCAAACCTGTGACTTCTAAGAATAACTACAATTCTTTTATCACTGAGGTCACTCGATTAATATATTTTTAATATCTTTAATGTATTCTTTTTAAACAAACTTTAACATATATATATATATATATATAAAATTTTGATACTGATATGTAAATACAGACCTCGAAAATATATATATATATTTTTAAAATAATTGATGTATGATTATATCTAACCTAAAATGATTGTTGAAGACTACATATTTTAATACACACATAATATTTAAGAAAAATATTTTCTAACCTAAAAGTAACTTTGATATCATTTTTAATCTATTGTTAGTTTTTTAATAATTAAATAATAACATCAGAAAAATAAATCACTCAAAAATTTGTTAATTATATATGCAACATTTCCTTGCAAAAAATTGGTAGATCACTAAAGAATACACAACTTGTAAATACAAATCAAATAACTTTTGAACAAACAAATACATCTTTTACAAATGTGCAAAAAGTAAGTGATTCCAAGTATCTGGAACTCCAGGCAAGCACCAATGGATGCAGTCGGCATATGTCCCTGGTTCTGCCTTTTCCTCGTCGGTCAATAGCTTTCCCCCATTTGCTGTATAGATGGACGAATGTGCATCGACTCTGTACATAGAGAGCTGCGTTATATTAAGAACCGACACCGGAGCTTTCATCTTCTTGATCACGCCGGCCGCCACGCTCATCATCTCCTTGTCGGCGCCGCTTCCCCAGAAGTTCTTGTTCTTCAAAGGCTCTGTTTCGTTGAAGCATCTCAACCCATCTTCTCTGCCCCAATCTTTGCTCCTGCCGGCAAAAATATCTAAGAATGAACAACAATGTAAAAGGAAAAATTGTAGTTTTGGTCCCCTGTACTACGTTTAAAAATTTGAATTTAGTCATGTTGTACCCCTTCCAAATTTCATCGGAAGATTGATCTCCGCATATTATACATTCCTTCGAATTCCTCTTTCGAGAATAAATACTCATATCCCCGAGAGTAAAGATCTCAAGAATTGTACACTCTTCGAGAATTCACGATCTCTTTATATGGTTTCTAACAAGTCTACATGATCTATAGGAATTAAATTTACTACTAGCTCACCATATCAACTACACCAACTAATCTATAAATAGTCATAATAACTCTATACTTGACATCAATATTAAAAATTAATATAAAATTTGTCGATCAAGATCGAAAGAGGGATATTGAACCTCCCTTTCTTTCACTCATCATTCTTGTACTTCCTTATATCTCTCCCCACCTTCTTTCACTCATTATTCTTGTATTTTCTTATAGAGACAATTTCGACATTTTCGGTTGCGTATTTCTTTAGCTGTATATTAAGTTGTTGCACGTAAGACTTCCCGAAGTATTGAATCTCCAGTTTTTAGCATAATAAAGTGACCAAATCCAATTGAACCATTTAAAAGAAAAAGTTGGCGAAAGACAAGAACCGGACTTCGTGTGCAGAGGGGAGATAGTTGTGAAGAAAACTCGTGTCTTGTTGGGATTTATGGTTGAATCGATCCAATTAGCCCACGTCTTCAGACCGATCTTGTAGGCAACCCGTGCATCCAGCTTCTCATAACCTTCTTCACCGTTGGCAAATGAACCCCACCTGTATTATATAATAAACGAGCTTAAACTCGAACGTGAATCCGAGCATATAACTCGTACAAACTAGTTTCGATTATATGAAAATTAATAAGATTTAATTTTTTAAACTTCGAATATCAAATTTCGAATCGGACTTAAACGATTCGGTCTTCGAGGTCGTCCCGGTTCGGTTACGAGTCAGGGAAAGGAGAAGTTACAGTGTTTTGAGCCTAGGGCCAATCATCCACCAAACATAAGTATTGAAGGCAAGGATATCAGCTCCTTCCCAGTCTCTCGAGGAATTGGAAACCGAATCTATTTTTATGATTCTCTTCTTTGGTTCTAAGATACTGAGATCCGTATTGGATTGAACAAGAAATGGTGCCCAGTGGAACTCAATAGTTGCATTATATTCCTGAAAAATAAAAGTAAATGGTTAAGTCGATTTTTTTAAATTCATCTGATCATTTTTCGTGATTATAACTGATTTGATATTGATATTTTAATATAATTATATTTTAATATATATTTTATATAACTCATTATTAATATTTTAATATATAAATTATAAATTTTTATTTATTTTTAAATAATTAAAATTAATTATTAAAATTAATAAATTATTTCTTAAGAGTGTTAGTATTAAATTATTAAAATAACGTAAATACATAATTGAGTAAAGCTCAAGCATTAGTCAGGGTAAAATTATAACTTGCTTCCAAACGCAAAGTTAAAACTGAAAAAGCTAGAAATCCTAGCTTTTGGTGTTGGTTTGAAACTATTGTTTCCATCGTATTTTTTTTTTCAATTTGTACCCGTTTGACATTGATTTTACAATCAAAACATGTTTTTTTTAATTAAAAATGCTTTTAAAAAGCTTTACCAAACAGACATTAAATCAATTAGGGACGATCATAAGTTGGGTTGAGTTTTTAGCTCATCTAACCTAAGCATAAGATTCAAAAATTGATTAGATTTTCTAAGGTAAAATCCCGTACTCGTACTTGACTCGTCACAACACAAATATATATAATTTTCGTTTTTATTGACCTAATTAAAAAAAATAGAGAAAGAGAATAACATTATAATAATTATTTGTAAATATTAAAAGATAAATTATACTATTATTTTTGGTTCGAGTCTAATACTTTCACCCTAAACTAAAATTCGATCCAACTTTATCTTTCGAAAAACCTGACCAAATCCAATTCAATACTAATTTTCACAAAAAAAAACTCCGATCATGTCGGATCAAAACTCGTCAAATTCGGACCAAATTTCCATCCTAAAACCAACCTTTGTACTCTATAAATGGGGTGGGTGAAGCGTGAGCTTCGTGGAAGGCGTAATAATGAAATCAATACCTTGGCTTTGAAGACATTACGAATTCTGCCTCGTTTCATAGATTTGTGTGGGGGAGGAATAGTCCATTCAACCATACAAACCAAAGACTCCCATTGGCTTCTTTGCAGGGAATCCCCCACAAACACCAGCCTCTTTCCCCTAAGCTTTTTAAGTGCAACCTCCGCATCAAATCTACACATAAAAAATGATTAATTGCATCATATATCCTTCTAAGTCACGGTCAACATTTTAAATCGACCTGAATTTCAAAACGTTCTGATTAAATCCTCAATATCATATCAACCGACTTCTTTTGTCAGTCTAGTAATCACATTAAGCCTCAAATGTTGACACCATAGCACGTTTAAAACATATTAATCAAAATGTAAACACATATGTTCATTTTCTCTGTCATATCTTAAGTTTGACACTCAATTTGATAAAATAACAGGTTAATTATGTGTTTAGTACCTAAACTATCAGTTTTCGTTCATTTTAATACCTAAAGTTTCAATTTTTGTTTCATTTTAGTATCCCGTCGTTAATGTTAAGTTTTGAAAAGATTGAAAGTTTAGGTATTAAAACGGACTAAAACTGATAGTTTATATACTAAACACTTTAAGTTTTTAACAACGGGTACTGAAATGATATGAAAAATAAAAGTTAGCTATGATTTTGAAAAAATTGAAAGTTTATGTACTAAAATGGATCAAAACCGATAGTTTAAATACTAAATGTGTAGTTTACCCTAAAATAATATAATATCCATCTCAGTTGGTAGAGCACAAGGTTTTTAACCTTGAGGTCGTGGAATCGAGTCCTACGGAGGGCATTTCATAATTCGGAGGTCTTCTACGAAAGCTGCTTCCAATCTGGTGTTGGAGGCAACCTACTATCTTACCTCCCCTTACCCCATTACATATGGGAACAAGGAACATCCACTTATGCTAATATTTTGGAGATGTAGAATGCAACTAACTTATATAACACAACTTTGCTTACTTGGGCAAGTAGCAGTCATCCGGCCGCCATTCCCAATGACGGTAATCAAACTCAAGCTGACCATTTTTCTCACAGGAAAATTGTCTCTCGACGTACGGACAACTCGTATCCGTGTACAATGGCTTGATGGAAAGGTTGAACACCCACTTCCCTCGAGTAATATCGCATTCGTCAGGCTCGAACTCGAACCTGTCGTCGAGGTCGGGATTTTTCTCGATTCTCTCTGCAAACATATCCAACAAGAAATACTTTAGATATTTAAATGAAAAAGATAGTATAATTTAAGTGCTTATTTATCGAATCGCTTACTAGGCTTTACAACAGCACTTCTTCTCGCACAGGATCCAGCTTTGAGAATAGAATTTGAAGAGAGAAAGCTTAGTCTTTCTGTATATAAGAGAGCAAGGAACACAAAACTGCAGAGTGAAGCTGTGATAATAGAGAGAGGTATCTTTCCTCTGTATGATTTCATTTTCTTCACGACTGTTGAAGAAGATGGTGCCACGAAGCTCATGTTTAGAGAGAGAAAAGCTGAGAAAATTTGAGAGCCAGTGCTACAACAGTATGATGACAACCTATTTTTTATTTCCCTTTTTATAGTCTTTTCTTGAGTAAGAGTAAAGCTAAAGCTATGGTTATGGGCTTTATCATCTTCTGTTTAGCAGTATATAATGGAAGGTAGGGAGTAAGTTAAGAGGCTAACATCTCTGTTTTCATCCTTGCTGTGGAAGTTACATCTTTTTTGTTAACTTGTCTCGGAGGAAGGGTTTAGGGTTTTAAATATGGGTGAAAATAAATCGGGTTTAAATGAACAAAATTGTGTGATTGTATTTTTATTCGTTTGTTTAATTTTAGATGTGTTTATATTCCGTTTGCATCTGTTTAAATTTCGATATCGTATTCGGGTTCGTTTGTTTATTTTTGAAGATGTTGGTGTTTTGTTTGTTTAAGGTTTCTAAACATGCTCGTTTAAGGTTTGCAAATATTTTCGTTTAGTGTTTGAGAACATATTCTCCAAAATGAAGGAACTACATTATTAGTCTTTAAACTCCTTTAGGTTTCACAGTTTGAACTCAAAAGTCTATGTGTTCAATTTACTCTCTATCTTCACCAATTTTTAAAATATAAAAAATAAAAGAAAAAAGAGAACCGGATAAACGAGCTTATAAACAAGTTGATAAACAAGTTTATAAACCAATTTTCAAACAAGTTTGTTTGTGAATATAAACGAACCAAACATGCATATGTTCATATTCGTTCGCTTATTAAATGAACATAAACATTTTGTTCATACTTATTTATTTAGCTTAATAAATGAACGATTCACGAACAATTTATTGAACGTTATGTTCATTTACACCCCTAATTTTAAACCGATTCTAGATAGTAGCAGGTGGAAGTTACCAATCGCATGGTGTTCCCTGCCACGAGGGAGAAGGCTGATATGGACTGATGTCCTTGCAGAATGCTTTATGGTTCCCATGTGTTCAATTATGTATCAAACGAACCAAAAATGCTTTCAAGGTGGAGAGTCGAGCTCTTAACTTTATTGCTTTAATTCCCTTGAGGAGTAATCTTTATTCATTTACGGTACACAATCGGCAACGCTTCTCTAATTTGCAGATTAAATGAGCCCTTGAAGTGCTTCAACAAAAACATTAACACCATGTTGTTTATGCTCCTGCACGACGAGTTAGGGACATTGAGTTGTAGGACATTATTTGATGAGTTGGGCAATCTGTTCTCAATGACGGATTAAGAAATTTTTCTTAAGAGCGGATATACATGTATTGATAATACGAAAGTTTTATATATAGATAGATAAAATTTTAATGTGAACACGATCTGTGAAATAAATAACTAACAAAAAAATTAAAATAAAAAAAATTAAAAAATGAATTTGAGAGAAAGGGCTTGAGCTTGTACAAAGCTTTAACTAGTTTACCTAAATTGTCAATTGTTACAGAGTATTTAAACATTCATTATTTACTTGTAATTAATGATCACAATTTAATTCATATTCGACGGGTTTAAACCAAAGCAAATTAAGTTCTTTGAACTTAGGACTCTTGGGATACTAAGCATATATTCAACCATTGAGCTAAAACCAATGCTTGATCTAAAATTGACAACATGATGTATATATTTTGTATTTCAGTGTATAAAAAATAGAGTTAGGATCTACTTACACAATGTAAAATTAATTAGTTTTACATAGAATTAGGATCATTGGATGAGTGAAAATAGATGGTTGAGATTGACTCTTTTTTTTTCCAGTGAATATCTTTATATTTCCAACTTTTGATCTCATCCATATATTTTTACTCACCAACGATCTTAAATTTGTGTAAAACTAAAATAGTTTTACAATCTGTAATAGGAACTTATCTCTAAAAAATAATTTTTATATTAACTTATTAAATATAATTTATCATTAACTTAAGTTAAAAATATATTTTTTATGTTAAAATATTTTGAGGTTAAGATAAGAATAAAATATATTTAATAATTTAAAATAATGATATAATATATATAATAAATTAAGATAAAATATATATTTTTTATATAAAAATATATACTGAAAAGTTAAAATAATAATAAAATATATTTTTAAAAGTTTAAATGAGAATAAAATATATATTTTTATATTAAATTAAAATATTTTTAAAGTAAGTTAATAATAACATTATTTAATAAATTAATATAAAAATGTTTTTTTAAAGTTAATATAAATAAAATATTATGAATTTAAGTTAAATATTTATACACTAAAATACAAAATATATTATCTTTTTAAATCTCATCATTCAAAATCAAGCTTTGTAATATATCCACATTTAATATTTATTGATTTTTTTCTGTCTTAGTTGTATATAAGATTTTTTATTAACAAAACAATAAAAATAATGTGTTTGACAAAATTTATTTTTTATGTTTATCAATGTAATATAAATTAATTATTTAAAGTAATAGAATACACTCTCATTTTATAGGGGTCTATTTTAAATTTTTATTTAGGCTCTAAAAAAATATTCGAAACCACCCTACAAATATATTAAATATTAAATTTCGATCAAACATAAAAAACTAAAATTAAACTAAAGGGGGTTATTGTAATTTTATTGCAAAAATAAGTTGAGCCACTGAATTTTACCATCAAAATTTTATTATTGCCTTGAAAGGGGGTGAGATATGTCATTTTAATAAATTCCAGGTGTATTAAACAATGAAAGCATCATTGTAAGTTGTTCCTCTTACAGCCGGGTCTACTTTATTACTGCCCCCACGTCAAGACAAAGATCTCATAAGATAAGATCATACAAGTAATAAATAAAGGTATCCTATATATTATATTTTATTATAAAATTTTAGGTCTAATTTCTCTCAGCCCCTATTGTTAAGATTCGAAGAAGCTTGATTGTACAACTAAATGGTTTTGTCGAGAGATAGTGAATTGGTTATGCACAATAATTTATAGTGGTTCAATTCTTTTAATGAAGTCTACATTTACTATTTACGCTCCTCGCTTAAGATTTTTCGACAAATCCTCTAATTTATTATTTCTTTTTTAAGGATAAAGAGATAATCTTTACACTCTCTAATTTTTTAAAGGCTAAACTAGAACCAAAATTCTTTTATAAAAGGATAAAAGAAATAAATAATAAAACATCTATAAAGTAGGGTGTTTACAAAATTAAGCTTACTAAAAACATAACTATTTACAAGAGAAAGGAAAAAAAGAGTGAAAAATTTCTCTTTTGTGTTTGATTTCTTGGATGGGTGTTCTAACCCTTATTTAAGTGTCTTGAACTTGTATTTAGATGTTGGAATGTGTTTGTGATTGTTTCTAGCCGTTGGGGATGATTTGGAGTCGTTGAGATGAAATTTCGTGCAAAATAAAACTGCTCAGAACAGAGGGTATTAGTACTCCTAGATATTCTCTTACCTTTGATATCAGTACCACATGAACAATATCAATACTGTTCATATAATATCGATGCTGTAAGAACAGATCGATACGTCATTCCTGAAAAATTGTTTTTGCTCAAATTCTAATTTATTCGTACGTCATTCCTGAAAAATTGTTTTTGCTCAAATTCTAATTTATTGGACTTTAAATTATTTTTGAAAAACTTTGAATAAATTCAATCAAGTCTAAAAACATTTTGCCTTAATTTGTTATATCAAAATATAATAAAACATGATTCAACAATCTCCCTCTTTTTGATATAACAAAACATTCAAAAAATCGTTTTTGACAAAACTCCCCCTTAATAAAACATTTAATGAAAAATAGACATATTTTGGAAAACATTAAAACTTTTCCTTTTTCATTCTTGAAATTGAATTTTTCAAATCATACTTATCTCCCTTTTTGTTATATAAAAAATAATTCAAATTTAAGGTTCAAAAATAATAATAGAGAGTAAGTGGTAAATTTTACAATTAAAAACATTTGGAAAATCAAAAGCTCGCCCTTAATAAAAACATTTCAAACAAAAATTTGACTTGTAAAAGCTTGACACCAAAAAAAAAAAAAAAACTTCAACAAAGATGAACAAACATGTTAGCAACACATGAAATTCAATATATCCAAGTCTAATATACTTTATGTAATATCAATTGTTGTAATTAAATGCATATGCATAAAGTTATCCAAAAATGTTATGCATTTGAAAAATTGATATCAGTTGTTAGAGAGATATCATTTACATTCAAAATCAAATTTGACCAAAACTCATTATGATAAACTAAAAATTATGAAAAATCATTAAAACTTTAAAATGTTCATCATAACACACTTTTCAACATACATGAGATAGAAAATATAAAATCATTTAAAATCAAAACTCATGCATGCTTAAGCTAAATGAGCAATCAATTAATTAAAATAAAAACATTAAGCTTAGAGGTTACCCTTTCCTTTTCAAGTGTGGCTAAAGCATTTGAATAACATCACTTTCATTACCATTGCTCCCACACATCTACAAGAGACATTTAAGTAGATTTTTGGTTCCAAATTGTTTTGGATTCTTAAACGTTAGTTTCAATGCCCTTTGTTCCTTTTAGAACCCATACTTGTTTAATTTTAAAAGATTTTATTTTCTTTATAGGACAAGTATGTTCCAAATGACCGTGAAAATGACAATGTGAGCATTTGTTATTTTTAAACATAATGAGTTGTTTTTAGAAATTAATTCTTTTTCTTTTGTTAAACTTTTAAGATTAGCTTTCAAGCTTAACTTTCAAATCAAAATTTTCTTTTTCTAAATCATTGATTTTTATTTTTGAAAGCTCTAAATCGTTTTCAAAGTTTCATTTTGATTTTCAAAATCAACATTTGCTTTCAGAAGAAAATCATTTTCAACTTTAAATTTTGAAATTAATTCATTATATTTGAAATTCATGGTCTCAAATTCCAAATACAACTCATCATAGGCATCTTGTAACTCTTTAAATGAATAAGAATTTAAATCACAAGAGTTAGAGGATACCTTAGACTCTTCAAGAGCCATTGAGCACACTTCTTTCTTGTTTCCATGGAT